ACGTGCTTCTTTGACTTCTCCTGCTTTTAAGTTTTTTCTTTCATTTTGTTTATATTTCTAAAACCATCTTTTGTCCACGTTACATCACCCCAAACAGCAAAAACGGGAAGCAAAACAGTGCATTTTTTACTTCACAGCCGCAAAGCCAACTTTTCCGTTTGTACCATACAGAATTAAAGCTACGAATATATTTCTTGTTCTTGCATATGCCTGGCTGAGATATTAGAATATCAGGTGTTAAACGATCTCTTTTCTTAACTGCAACTTTCTCATGGCGAGACAGTTGTGAAAACTTGAGCTGTTGCAGTTCACTTGCAGTCACAGAACTTATTTCTCGGGGATGCAAGTCCATGGTTAAAGTTTTCTGTTAAATAAAAGAACCGAAAAAAAATAATCAAATAGCTGGAAGCAGGATAATAATCTAATTCTACAATTAACTCATATTTTTTAAGCACAACACACGTGGAGTAAAAAAAACCTTCCACCAGCACTCCAGGGTTGGCACCGGTCGGCACTGTCGTTCCTGCAGTGCTCCCTCTCCATTGCAGCCTCGCGTGTAGCGATGTGCGCATGTGCACAGTCAACGAACACCTCGCCGCTAGAACTGTGAAACTCACAGTTCCATACAAAGATTTGGCTACTGACATTAAGCTTAAGGATTATATATTGTATTGTACAAATATAAAGAAAGAATTAAAGAAAAAAGGACTCATTATATAAATGTTATCGATAATATCAAGTGGAAATTGGGGATGCTGCAGTTCCGCAGTGCCTATATGCGGGCCGCCCCTGCTCAAATCCAACCCAAAGGATTATGGGTGAAGTGATATTGAACTTCCTTATGGAGCTGAGCCCTTCTTGAGAACCTGTCAATTGTGCAGCCACTCAAGAATTTTCCAGCCTTTTGTAGAACCCGAAGGTTCATTACTGTGTTCACAAGAGTCCTCCACTGGTCCCTATCCTGAGCCAGATCAGTGCAATCCATACCATACCATCCTATTTCACTAGGATACATTTTAATACTGTCCACCCACCTATGCCTTGGTCTTCCCAGTAGTCTCTTTCCTTATGATTTTCCCACCAATATCCTATATGCATTCTTCGCCTCCCCCATTCGTGCTACATGCCCTGCCAACCTCATCGTCCTGGACTAGTGATATTCTGTGTTCAATATCACTAGTCGAGGAGGATGAGGTTGGCAGGGCATGTAGCACGAATGGGGGGAGGCGAGGAATGCATATGGGATATTGGCGGGAAAGCCAGAAGGAAAAAGAGACTGCAGTACAAGAGATCTGGTTGTAAAAGAAGTTACTGCTAGTAGCGAAAAAGGCATTGAAGGGGGAGGGGGGCACTAAAAATAGATGGTAAAGTAGCATACCTTCTTACCGATTGTGCTCTCGGCCCAGGAGCCCATTTTAAATTTAGTTCCTGTATGAGGAACATAGAGGGCAGCAGAATTGTACCGAGGGGACATGGCGGCCATGTTGCCAACCAATAATATGGGAGTTTCACGGGGCTGCTCCTGAATTCGAGAGAGATTGCGATTGCAACGAGTAGGTGAAGGCAGGCAATGCAGGTGTGTAGAACACAGACGGTGTTAAAGTGCGCAGTAATTAATGTATGAAATGTATGAACTGTTGAAACCACTGGAACTACGGATTTTGTATGGTTGAAGCCAGTTGATGTGTTGTGTGCTGGAGGTTTAGTTAATATGTTTATTTGTCAGGTTTTTGTAATTAAAATTAACAAGGAAGCGATTAATGAATATATGTAGGACGTCTGTAATTGCGCCTTTTAGATGACGAACTTTGCATAATTATATTCGGGCCTCCACAAATTTAATCTGGAGGAAGGACTGTTGGAAGAATGTAGGTTGCTGAATAATATTTTTCTTTTTTTAGAGTTCCGTAATTAAACCAGGTATGGAGATAGTTTATTGTTAAACGGAATCGCCAGCTTTTATTTGCAGGGTATGCAGTCATTTATTTTTTACTTTGATTTCTAGATTTTATTTTTAAGCATGATGTACCAGCTGTAGAGGTTATGTATCGTGAAGTAAAAGATCAGTTTATAAATGGCAAGTCATCATCTGCGTTGAAAGGAGCAATCTTGTTTGCTTTCAAGAACTAATATCATGCACATAAATGAACAAATAAATTACGAAAATCCCCGATTTAAGCGTTCAGATATTCATTATTTGCTGTTGCTGACATTAATATTGGTGTGTATTTGTAACATAGGTTGTGTATTTTGTTTTTAGTCCACATATTGGATAAGCCAGATAAACTTTAGTTGTGTCTTTATTAGGTTGTGAATAAAAAATTTGAATTGCGAAAGAAAGCATGGTTTCTCAAACTGCAGGTAGCGACCCTGACCTGCAAAAATGGAAGGTGAATAGCCCCGTTCTCAGGAATTATTTAATATATAGTAGTGTTCATGCACAGGTTTGGTAAGGCAGATTTAATATAGACATTTCCAAAAAATGTAGCCCGAGCCAGCAAAACATTTTGCAGACACTTACTGTGCAGGAATATGTTATGTTATGTTGTGCATGTAGAAGGGTTGTAAAATACTTAGGTCCATGCTGTCACTGTACAGCATGACAGGGACTTGGAACATGTGCAGACTGCATTTTTGCTGATCAACAGAGGTGGGGCTTGTTAAATTTTATGTATTATTTTAGGGGATTATGATATGAAATTTTAGACCATTGGGTTGAGGAGTAATGTGGCTTTAAAATGCGTTAATGAATTTCATTTCTACAGTTCATAAACATTTTTGGCAGATATCAGCTGTTTTGGTCCCCCCCCCCAATACTTTTTCTTGAGCAGTTCAACAAATCTCTAAGATGATTGCACTCTTACTTACGTGCTTGGCCGCACCATAGCTCAAACAGTTAGTCGCTGGCTTCCCACTGCGACAGCCCAGGTTCAATCCCGGGTCTGGTCAAGGGGGATTTGTGGTGGACAAAGTGGCGCTGGGTCAGGTTTCCTCCGAATACTTCGGTTTTGCCTACCAATCTTCATTTTACTAATTACTTCACAATCATCCTCACCTATAATCTGGGGCTGGTACAGTAGGCCAGAAGTGACCACAGTACAAGGGACTTAGTCCCACCCCAAAGCAATAAAAAAAAATACTTATTCCTGGAGCTGAGCCCTTCTGGAGGAGCCGCCAATTCTGCAGCTACTCAAGAATTTCCCAGCATTTTATGGAACTCGAAGGTTCATTTCTATGTTCACAAGAGCCGTCCACTGGTCCCTATTCTGAGCCAGATCAACCCAATCCATTCCATTCCATCCTATCTCTCTAAGATTCATTTTAATATTGTCCACCCACTTATGACTTGGCCTTCCCAGTGGTCTCTTTCCAGCTGGCTTTCCCACCAATATCCTATATGCATACCTCATCTCCCCAGTTCCTGCTACATGCCCTGCCCACCTCATCCTCTTTGACTTGATCATTCTAATTATACTTGGAGCAGAGTACCAGTTATGAAGCTGCTCATTGTGCAGTTTTCTCTGAACTCCTGTTACTTCATCTCTCTTTGGTCCAAATGTTCTCCTCGACACCCTGTTGTCAAACACCCTCAGTCTATGTTCTTCCCTTAATGTCAAAGACTAAGTTTCACACCCATAGAGAACCACAGGCAAAATTATAGTTCTGTATATTCTGATTTTTATATTTTTGGACAGCAGACAAGAAGAAAAGGTTCTGGACTGAATGGTAGAAAGCATTACCCGAGTTCAATCTCCTCTTAATTTCCTCCTGAATCAGGTTTTGATCTGTTATCGTTCCCAAATATCTGAACTGTGCCACGTTTTCAAAACATCTTTATGTCATGATTTTGCCCTGCATTTTGATGACGAGACAGCAACATATACTTAGTTTTCTCTGTGTGTACTTCTAGACCAACCACTTTACTTGTGTCAGTTAATGAATGTACAAGGGGTGGGCCCTCTTGGCCCTTGCACCGTGACCACAGTGTTCTATTCTGCCTTCCCTTTTGATTATCCCCTCAGCAATCTCGTGTTTCGAGTGAAGCGTAGGATTTTGTACGTGGGGACATCGAAATAGTCACTTGGTTCCATAAAATATTGACCCAAGTAACGTACTCTTAAATAAACTTAAGGCCTCACATTCACACAGAGTATGTGTGGCTGTTTCATTTTCTTCTTGACACCTCTCACAAGTTGGACTATTACTTAGTCCCAGTTTGAAGAGGTGTCCTTTAAGGTGACAATGTCCTGTAAGTAGTTCTACCACCCATCGTAGGTGGTTCCTGTTTAACTTCAACAGTTCCTTCGCTCTTTTAGCATAGGGTCCTCGTATGAGTCCCTTTGCTTGCCTGAGTCCAGTCAAGGATCCCCAGTATTTCTTGTGATTCATATTTGTCCAGTCCCTGATCGCCTTTCTGGCAACTGCTGTAAAGATGCCACAAGCTGGTTCAGGTCCTATGAATGGATATTCAGCTCCAATCTTGGCCAATTCATCTGCTGTTTCGTTTCCAGCAATACCCTCATGCCCCGCCACCCATATCAGTTGTACCCTGTTATGTTTGACCAGTTCCATGAGAGTTTGATGGCAATCTCAGACCAATTTTGAGTTGATCTGGTGTTTGTCAAGCACTTTAAGTGCAGCTTGGCTGTCAGATAGAATGTAGATCTTCCTATTTCTGTAGTTCCTATCTAGATTCTCCATAATACATGCCTTAATGGCATTGATTTTTCCTGGAATACTGTCGTGTGCCGCCCAAGGCTGAAACCAAGTTTCTGCCTCATGCCATAGCAGTATACACCAGCTCCAATGCCCTTATGTATCTTGGAATCATCTGTATGCCAGATCAGTCCCCCTTTTCCATCGGACCAAAACCCATCTACCCATTCACTCCTGTCGGGAAATCTGACTGTGAAGGGTTTTTCATATACATGTCTCAGTGTCTATGAGTCTCATGAGTTCTCAGCTTTCAGTCATCTCCTGTACTGCTCGTGCCCTATTCCAAGTTTTCGGGCTATTGTGTCCACAGTCACGCCTGTCATCTTGAATGAACTCGTCCACTCTTTCCATGTTGCATTTAGTTGAGGCTGTTCGAGGATGACCGCTCCGAGGCTCATCTTCTATGCTGGCGTTCCCATTTTTAAAATGTTTCACCCATCTTCGAACACTGCTCGCATGCCATGCACACACTTCCATAAGCATGCTGAAGTCTCTGGTGAATTTTTGCAGCAGGGATTTCCTCTTTCACAAGAAATTTGATGACAGCACACTGGCAAAACAACATCGTCGGCCATTTTGTTAGGAGTGATACTGGTCACGTAATGCAAGCTATTGACATCACAAGACACTCAAGGTTAACACAACAGCTGGTTTCACATACCACCATAGTCTCTTTCATCTGCTGTTCCAAGGTTGTATGCAAAAAAAAGTTGCTCATGACTTTCTTTACGACCTAGGTATCTGTAATCCAATAGGGACAGCTCATGAGATACATGCCAATTACTGATGATTGTTCCTATTTTATTTGTCCCTAGTGTCAAGTTGATGACCTCCTGCCTATTGCAAACCACAAAGAAAGGCTCGTTACCTTGGTTTAGAATATTAAGATTCGAACTCACCAAATATTCAACGAGGCATTCTCCTCTTGGATTGATGTCAGTGCTCCCCCACAGTGTGTGGTGTGCCTTGGTGTCACACTCAATGATGAGCTGCATTTCCTAAGACGGCAATATTCAATGATGTCCTTCACTTCTTTGGAAGGTGGTGGTTCATCCGAGTGATAAGGAAGGTAGGCTGAAGTGGCAATGAGCTCCTCACAGCCTCCGCCAAATGTGTATGTCATCCTCACCATTGTTGTGTCTCTGGAACAGAACTCCAGCAAGGGTAAAGCATTAATATGATTATTAACATATATGCATGATCTCACATCTTCTCCTGGTACCATGTAGTAGACTGTTCCCCCTGAATTTGTTAAGCCTCTTATTTGGCCCCTGTATATCCAAGGTTCCTGAATAAGTGCTATGTCTACTTGATTGTGTATCTTCCCATCAGGAGATGTCCAAGTAAATTTATGGATGTTACGATGTGGGAACATTGTACTTTTGACAGTAATATTTTTGATGTGGCAAAGTTTACTACTCTAACTCAATTATCATTACTAATTTCATGCAAACTCTCATTCCCAGTTGTTGGTTTGAAAATGTCTTCCCTCCCTACTTTGGCATTGAAATCTCCTAACAAAATTTTCATAGGGTACTTCAGGAATTTATCAAATACATGTTCTAGTTCTTCGTAGAATCTGTCCTTTATGTCATCAATTTATCTTCTGTTGGGGTGTGAACATTCATAACAGTGTCACACCAGCGACCTTTTACTATTATATATTATATCCTATCACCAACAAACTGTACCCTCTTAACTGCTGATACGATTCTCTTATGTACAAAAATCCAGTACCTAATTCATGATTTTCATTCCGCTTTCCATAGAAAAATCTGTATTCTCCTGCTGGTGCGATGCCACCTCCATCCCCTCTGACCTCCTATACTGCTGCTAAATCTAACATACATTTTAAGATTTCTTCTCTCACTGACTTGAGCGAACCTGCCCTATACATACTTCTGATGTTCCAGGTACCAAATCTCATATCCATTTTCTTTAGCCGAGGTCATTTATCCGGAGAATCCATCCAGGTCCAAGGCTTTGTGTTCATTTTTGTAACATGATTATTTTTTATGGTGAGGAGTTGTTGGCCCCATGCCCAACCCCCAAGCTGGAGAACCACCCCTTGTTGGCTGTCTGCAACTGCTTGTTCAGTATGCTCACAGCTTCCCTCCAAAACTGGAGGGGGTCTCGTCCATCCATAATCTGAGGACACACCATGCCGTGGTGACAAGGGACCCGCCTAACATGGAAGATGATTGCTCGCTATTTGCCATTAATATAACATGCTCTGTTTTGATTGCAAATTTTCTTCAAATTAATACTAATTCACTTTGATACTACTTTATATAGAAACTTGATTGCATTGTATATGAATGTTGTTTGATAGCATCATGGAAGTGATCAAAGTGGAACCAGGTGTAGCCAGTGAGGTTTACTCACCATCCCCAGTGAGTGATGATCGGTTGATGTGCATAGAGGATGAAGAACAAGAAATTAAGGTGTGTGATGCTCTTGTGTGTATGCCAGTATTTTGATATATATTTTTGGCAATGTTGCCAGTATTGTCATTTGACAGAAGTAATACATTGACTATTGTTTATGAAGTGAAACATGTACCTTTATGTTAAACATTTATGTATGTATTTGGAATGGTTACCATAGCAACAAATTTCTTGATGTCACAATGTGGCAACCAATATAGACTTATTCTAGTAATTGCACATACTGTTATGAATATATTTAGTAGCTCATAATGAGGCTTTTGTTTTCATATATTTCCATTTTCTCTCATCTAATACTTGAGATGTTAAGTGTCATTTGTATTTATTACAAAATGTGAATAAATTCATAAAGATTTGAAATGTTCCCTTTGAAACAGACTCCTCGTAGAGGTCCATTCAGAGCAGTGCAGTAAAGTCATGTTCAAATTTTCAAATATGAAATTGAAATGCTTTTATTTATTACACATTTTCAAATCCATTGACTCAGTGTATAATGTGTATCAAAACATATGCAGGTTTTGTTTAGTTGAGGTAATCCAATTGCCACATAATATATATATTAAATGGGGGCACTATTAATATTTATGATTATTTGAATTCACATCTTACCCATGAACTAAACTGCATGGGACTGGAGGTTGTCACTGTGATGACTAAGAAGATACTATCTTTTTTTTTGGGGGGGGGTGATACTGTGTATTCTGCTAAATAGTAACCAGTGTTTCAGAAGAACCTACTGCCTCCATCTTCATGATAGAAGATGGTAATTTTCTTACTCTTTTACTGTACAGATTTCCATTCCTGCAAATTGTATGCCATTAATTTTACAGTTAGATAATTATGTGTATAAACCAAGAATAAAATGCACTTCAACTGATAGATTAGTGGGCCAAGCTTATAAGCATATAGTCACAGGATTGGGTTGTGCTCAAGTCAGTTTTATTTATATCATTTGACAGCTGTAAATGTGTTGCATGCAGAGTATTATCATTTGAGGAGGAAGGGATATATATTCTGTATTAAATTTTTAGGATATGTGTGGGCCATTATGGGCCATGTTAAATGGGTTCCTTCACACTTTTGCCAGTCATCACACATGACATGTCCTTAGATTGTGGATGGCAGGTATGACCTACAGAGGGCAGTAGATGCAGATCAAATCAAAATCACTTGTTTAGTAGTGAGTCAGTATAAGAGAACTAACAAGAATATATATGAAGAGAGCCATCTTCTGGGATGTTGTGCCGTGTAGATATTGTGTTAACCGACGTTTCAGAGGAACGTATTGCCTCCATCTTCAAGGTAGAAGAAAAAATCGGCAAGCGAAGAACCTGCTAAAACAGGTTCCAAACTTGGTGATTTTCTTTCTTTTTCCCCCCCTTCTGCCCTGAAGATGGAGGCGATACCTTCCTCCGAAACGTCGGTTAACACAATATCCCAGAAGACAGCTTCTCTTCATAGTCACCACCGTGAAAATCTCAAATATTACAAGAATATGTATGTTTCGCAGCCTGACATAGATCTAATAAAAATGGAACCTCATTCAGATTCAGAGGCTAGTCTCATGTATTCGCCAAATGAAGATGACCATGATATAAAAAAGGAAGAATGCCCTTTACCAGCAGCATTCTGTGATATGAGGGTAAGTTACTTATGTTCATATTTTTATTATTCTCTGAACAAGGAATATACAACTTCTCACACTAAATAAATATTTTTAGTGTGAGAAAAGGTGTCATTTGATGTTACACACACTTCAATATCAGAGTGCAACAGATAGTGGCTAAAAAGTTGTCCATGCATGTAAATCATTGGAAATATTTTCTCTTCACACAGCAGTATAGTTTGTTGAGGCACTATGCTACAAGCCGAAAGGTCACGGGATTTAATCCCAATGAGGTGGATTTTTTCAGTTTACCTAATCCTTCCAAGAGCACCATGGCCCCGGGTTCAACTCAGCCTCTGACAGAAATGAGTGCCAGGAATATTGAATATTCTTGGGAGTAAAGGGCAGCTGGTGCATAAGGCTGGCAACCTTACCACCATCTAAGAGCTGATGGTCTAGAAAATGTGGGAACCTCAACATCTTACAACCCTATGGGCCTCCACGCCCTGTTACAGGGATACCTTTACTTTATAGCAGTATACATTACAACATATATTTTGTGTGAAATTTGATGTTCTCATGGCAGTGAGTGTTAGGATTATGAGCTAATAGGATATCACACCTTGTAGTTTGGTGGAGAGGTAACAGTATTCTGGGTAGGCACTGAAGATGGAGGCAGCAGGCCACTCTGAAACTTTTCTGCCTATTTACCAAACTACATGGCATCACTGGAGCTGGGGTAGCTCAGTCAGTATAGCGACTGGCTACAGACTGGACGACCAAGGTGTCCAAGTTCAAGTCCCATTAAGGTCAAGAAGGCTACAGGAACAATAATTCTGTCACATAGTGTAGGGTCTTCAGTTGTCATGTGGTAATTAATAAGTGAACAGTACATATTGCATATTTTGTTGACATGTTGTGCATCACATTTAAATACAACTAACAGCATCTCCCAGATGTTGGGAATGTTGGTTTAGGGAGGATGCTGGAGTAACTGTAGCTTACATTGTTTCCTTCAGGTGACTTAAAAGAATGATGTATAGCTTGTCAATGTGACTAGTATCCTTGGCATCGTTTGAAGTGATGACCTCTTAGATACGAAGCACAAATACTACTCATTACACTAATACATTTGGTTGGCACTTTGTCACTCAGTACTTAATCTAAATACTCATGCTACTAATGTTGAAATACATTTTATGTTTATAACTTACATAAAAGGTAAAGTTATCCCTGTGTTTAACTAATTAAGCACTATGCCATGAAGGCATATGGGGGAGTGGAGACCAGGTAGCGCAGTTGGTATAGCAACTGCCTACAGGCTGGATGACCGAGGGGTCAGAGTTTGAGTCCCAGTAGGGTCAGAATTTTCTCTTCCCCATATTGTCCAGACCAGCTCTGGGGCCCACCCACCCTCCTATCCAATGGGTACTGGGTGCTCTTTCTCTGGGGGGGTAAAGCGGCAGGGTCATGAAGCTGACCACTCACCTCCAGCTAGTGCCGAGGTGAAGAAAATATGGATCTTATAAGTTACATGTACTCAAATTGGTCATGAAGGATTTTAAAATTGAGTGGAGGCCGAGGTCGGTTTAAGTAATTATTTTGCAGCAATCAAGTGTTCACTTCAGATGAAGATTAATGAGTTACACATCATGTTTACGTTACATCAATACAGTTACTCTTCGTTCTTGAAATTACATGGGCAGGAATGTTCAGACTTAGTTTGTTGTATTGCAGGAGATGTTTTGTTATGGTGCCAGCATAAAGGAAGAACTGAAGGATGATGAAAGAACAGAAAAACCTCAAATATACATGTACAGGTAAAAGTGATCTTGAAGTGTGTTTAGTGATGTGTACTTGAGTATTCATTTCTGAGCTACGGATTCTTTGCATGGAGTGTATGTATGTTGCAACAGGATGTGTTTGACAGCAGCAGTAACAATAACAATAACAGTATTCACAATTGCAAACAATAAAGAGCCAGTCATGGTAGTTGAGCGGCCTAAAGCATGCACTGTCTTCACTTGCTCAGAAGCCGGAATCGTGGGTTTGAATCCCACTCAGGGCAAGGATGTGTGTGTCTGCACGTGTGGGGGGGGGGCCCACTTTGCTGTGTTTTGTGTAATGGTAGAGGGCTTGCAATCACCTACCCAAGGAGCCCTACTGAATGTCTAAGATCTAATAAATCGAAGTGAAAGGGAGAGTTTCATGGAGGTAGGTCAAGGTCCAAATTGGGGCTGTAGTGCCAAAATGGGGAAGGAAAAAGGCAATAAAGAAGTCATTTTGGATATGGTCATGCATAGTCGTGTATCTACAGATGAACTTAACATATTAATGCATAGAATATATTTTGTTGTTAGTTTACCCATACACAGAGGGGTCCAAAAATATACTCACTCTTTGATAGTATCTTTGGAACAAAATGACATGTAGTTACAATTCTTGCGTGGAGAGAGAGAGAGTCATTGTATGTGTTCAAAGTGACCACCATCAGTGGCTAAACAGCATCGATGCTGCCGAACTGCTGAGTGAACTACAGCTATCAGTGTGTCCAGTATGATGGCTGCTCACGATGCTTTGATGGTTTCTCATAGCGCGTTCAGTGTAATTGGCTTTTGTCGATAAACTTCATCATTCAAGGTTCCCCATAGGTAGAAGTCGAGAGGTGTTAGGTCTGGAGACTGTGGTGAATACTCAATAGCACCTCTTCAACCTATCCATTGTCCAGGTAGAGTGTCATCCAAGTACGTCCTGACATCTCGGATGTTAGTGAGGTGGAGCACCATCTTGTTGTAGGTAAAATCTCTCATCTCCAAACAGCTCTCACACGCACACCGATTCACAGATTTCTGCGGTGGTCGTGTAAAGTGTTGCAACACCACAGCACTGGAAGCTGGACTTGTTACTATCTGTGGTCGCCCAGATCTTTGCTTATGCACATCATGAACAGTACCATTGGCTTCAAATTTATCCCGAATACAGGCAGTTGTTCGGCGTGTTGGTAGCTGAGTTCCAAACTCATTCTGCCATTGTCGTTGTACCTCTTTAATGTTTTCATACTTCCAGTACCACTTCAGTACAGCCTTGTGTTGCTCAAAGAACAACATTTCAGCCATTGTTGCTGCTGTCTTCTCCTCACAATGCACACACGGCACAACACTGATGTGACTCATGTGACATTCACCATCTGTTGGACAACATTACACTACACTACCGCACAAGAATTGTAACTACATGTCATTTTGTTCCAAAGATATTGACTATCAAAGAGAGTACATTTTTTGGACCCCGCCCTGTGTAACAGTAACAACACAAGATTTATAAAACTTGAAGTTTGTGCAACAGGGAAGTCGGTTTATAAGTTTTGCTTGGAATTTGTATGTGTTTCTAATCTGTAGAACAAAGGCTTTAGCACATCATTGTTATATGCCTGTTCTTCATTTCAGCATGGAGTTGCTGAACAGTGAACAAGATTTTCTTGGTGAAGGTGCTTCACGGCTTGACGTGTATGGACGTAACAACAAGGATCATGGGAGAGAAACTGACATATGTAGTGAAAATGACAGTTTAATCAATAATAACAGTGAAATGAGCTTTAAGAGAAAGTTAAGAAAGAATTCTTATAGTGTTCTAGATTTAAAACGTTATAGGTGTGAAATCTGTGGTAAATACTTTGCAATGAGGTGTGACCTCAAAAAGCACAGTAGAATACATTCAGGACAGAAACCTTTTAGATGCAAAATATGTTTTAAGGGCTTTACACACAATGGTAATCTTTTGGCCCATGGGCGTACCCATACAGGAGAGAAACCGTACAATTGTGATGTATGTAATAAGAATTTCTCACAAAGAGGGAGTTTGAAGAATCATTATCGAACTCATACCGGTGAAAAACCTTATATGTGCCATATTTGCAATAAGAAATTCACAGAAAGAGGTTCCTTAAGAGTCCATAATCGTACCCATACGGGTGAGAAACCTTTCAGTTGTGATATTTGTAATAGGCATTTCTCACAAAAAGAAAATTTGAAAAATCACTATTTTCGTATCCATATTGGAGAGAGGCCTTATCCTTGTGATATATGTAATAAAAGGTTTGCAAGAAGGGACAATCTGAAGAACCATTATCGTATCCATACAGGAGATAAACCATATAAATGTGACGTATGCGGTAAGAATTTTTCAAAAAGTGACCATCTTAAAATACATTATAGAAGTCATACTGGTAAGAAACCATATGCTTGTGACATATGCAACAAGACCTTCACAGAAGGGTCTAGATTAAAGAAACATTATCGTATTCACACAGGAGAGCGGCCTTATAAGTGTAGTGAATGTAATAAAGAGTTTGCAGAACGTGGGAATCTCCGAAGACATTCTCGGGCGCATTCACGAGTCATGTCTAAAGCCCGTAGAGTGTATGAGGAAATTCCTGATTTTAAACCCACTGTAGAATATTGTACTTATGTATCTGAAGCTCAATTTAGACAGTAAAGTTTGAGATTTGATGTTTTCATGGCAGTAACTGAAGATTCAGGGATTGGGCACTGTGTATTCTTGTAGATGGTTCCCAACAAAATTTGGGGAACCTGCTGCCTCCACCATATGGCTAATATTCCTTACTCTGTCTTCCTTACTACTATCGGTTTGCCCAGTGTCCCAGTTACAGCCCTTGCTCTCCCTGTATCTATACCACGCTTTTTCACATTTAGTTTATTTTTCTACCATGGATGAAGGTATCAGGTACTGTAATGATCTACTAGATCCCAAAAGGGAGCAGTGTTGATACTGTTAACAGTATATTTACAATTGAGCGCTTACCTGATCGTCACATGCAGATTGGAGCCTGTTTTATAAACCATATGGTTAACTCATATATGAGAGTAGATACACATTATGGCTATAATTTCACGTGTAGTGGGAATATCCTCATGATCACTTCAAATTTAGTGATGAAAACCTTTGTATAGCCTTCTATCTTCGGAAATTAAAACTTGTAAGACAAGTTTCCAGTAAAACGGGAAATAATATTGATACATTTTTTTTTATATTCTAACCTGTGCATCCAAAAAAGGTCACCGTTCTTCTATTGCTCTTGCTCCAATTTGGAGCATAGGACATCCATGAAATGCTCATTTCTCTTCAGTTTCTTAATCTTAGAGAGTCAGTGGTACTTCTTGGATGGGGGATCAGCCCATCACAAGGCTGCTGCCTAAAACAAACAGAATAGATGCAAACAGACATCCATGCCTTGAGTGGGATTCAAACCCACAAACTCAGTGTCTGAGCGAAGACATTTCATGTCTTAGATAGTGTGGTGACTGTGATCAGCAAAGGGGTCATTAAGGAAGGAAATTTGGTCCAGTCAAATCGTTTGAATATACCTTCCATCTCTTCTCTTATGTGAGGAAACACTGTGTTTGATTTATGAATGCAGATAGTGCTAACAGTTGAGGGCTCCAATTCTGCAGTGTTAACATCCTGACAAATAAAACCAAACATGTATAAAATGGTCAAGAACCCCAAGCTGTCACATGTTTGGTATGTCACACGTGACAAATAACTTCACGCCGTGTTGGATATAGCGAATTTATTCCACATTCGCTCTTACACTTACACAATTACTGTCATTGGCAGTATCACAATTACTTCTACTGCTCTCGGCGACTTTACGGTCCACACTGTGTCACTCCTAATCACACACTATCTTCAATATAACACACATTCCATTCTTCTTCCTGTGACCGCTTCTGTATTTGAACTGAACTATGATGTCTTCGCGTTCACAATTCACTTGCTACAACTGAACCCGGCGACTGATAGACTTCAGCTGTCTTAGGTGGCTGCTACATTTTAACTTTCTGCTTACGCATTCCAGTCTCCCTTATAAACCCTCAGTTGGACAGCGGAAAACCCACATCACTTCACTGTGGCATAGACGCCGTGTTTACGGGCATTGCTCGACAACGCTGCCGAGAGTTGTTTAATGCTGCGTAGCAACCAGCGCGCTTTGGCTCAGCTCGGCTCACTTCAGCTCTACTTGGCATGGCATGGAGAAACACCGCTTTCCTTACTGTTGCATAACTTGGCAACTGACCGTTTTTTTTCAAGGGCCTGTCTTTGTGGTAACTTGTTCCGCCTCCTGTTGCCCAGCAACGGTTAGACGTGTCACAATATATTTATATCAACAAATGATCAGTTTCTCATATGGCATATGTAATGATCTTGTATGACCTGTGTTGGATAGTGTTTGTATTTTGTCCTCATGTAGCCTTGTTCTTATGTGTACAAACTTCCCTTTAGCTAATCTTGTGAATCAGTTTCCTGCTTTCTCTATGCAGTATAGTTTCTGGGCTATCTGGTGTATTTTGTTTCAACACAGTTACACTACAGGTTACAACATGACATGGGGTATGTCAGTCTTCTTTAAGGGTAACCTAGACCAGAAATTGCTCCCTCAGTGTCTGAAAGCCCAGTCTCAGAGTGAAGTTTCTTATTATAGTGTGTTCCAAAAGTATACAGTAAGCATATTACAATCATATTTATTTCTTTGATATAGACAACCTAAACAACAAATCATAAAGGAAAACACACGAACTTTAATTGATGTTAGTAAGTAGGTTGGTCTATAAGTGAACACAGAGAAAACTAAGTATATGTTGCTGTCTCATCACCAAAATGCAGGGCAAAATCACAAAGATAAGGCACCAGATGTTTTGAAAATGTGGCACCATTCATATATTTGGGAACGACAGTAACAAATCAAAATTTGAAACAGGAGGAAATTAAGACATGATTGAATTTGGGTAATGCTTACTACTATTCAGTCCAGAACCTTTTGTCTTCTTGACTGTTGTCTAAAAACATAAAAATTATAATATACAAGACTATAATTGTGCCTGTGGTTTTTATGGGTATGAAACTTTAAGGGAGGAACATAGGCCGAAGGTGTTTGAGAACATGGTGTTGAGGAGACTATTTGGACCGAAGAGAAATGAAGCGACAGGAGGTTGGAGAAAACTGCATAATGGGGAGCTTCATAACTTATTAGAATGATCAAGTCAAGGGGGATGAAATGGGCATGGCATGTTGCATGAATGGGGGAGAAGAGGAGTGTATATAGGATATTGGTGGGAAAGCCAGAAGGAAAGAGGCCACTGGGAAAACAAAGACATATGTGGGTGAACAATATTAAAATGGATCTTAGAGATGATATGGATTGAATTGATGTGACTCAGGATAGGGACCAGTTTAGTGCTCTAGTGAATATGGTAATGAACCTTCAGGTTTCATAAAATGCTGGGAAGTTCTTGAGTAGCTGCACAATTGGCAGCTTCTCAAGAAGGGCTCAGCACCATTAGTTAGTGAGAAACAACAGGTACTAATGGACAGACCTTTTATATCTGAAGGTAATCACTAGAGTTATTGGTGAGACATCTGTTCCAGTGCTACACTGCATGTTCAGTTTATGCAGAGAAGAAATCAGATCCCAGTATTTTCAGCTGTCATCAGGTCAGACATTTTACCTTTTATATTTTTTCAGTGCTCTGATGTGGGGAAAGCCAATTAGTGCAAGTGGATGGACAAGATGTTGCCAGTGGAACTGCACCAGTTAGAATGATAGAAAAGTGCCCATTATATCATTCAAAGAACCCACGTTCAAAGTATACCTAAAAGCATACAATTCCCACAGATATCGTGTGTCAGGTGCATAATATGTAACTCATGGTAGTATCACTGCTGTAGCTCACATTTTTCATTTAGTAGAACATTTTCCTCAACATTCGCTCTGAAATGTTAAGGCAACTGTGAGCACCCAAGTAGTCAGAAAACCTATTCAGATTGCCATATACTAGGTGGTTCGAATATGACTGGGACTGATTTTTTGTAAACAAGCCGCACTGCACAGCAGCTGTTCGACCTTGAGAGAGTGAAGCCACAACCTCCACCCTCCCTCCTGTTACGGTTAGAACCTGTTCAGTCCTGTCTGGAAGTCGCTAGAGGAATGAGCATACAGAAGGTACCGCGGAACGTTGAACAACGCGTTGTGATCAAATTCCTGTTGGAGAAAATGTCCCGTCACCTGAAATTCACCACAGACTCCAACAGCAGTATGGGGAAGAGTGTCTCTCACGGACCCATGTGTTTGAGTGGTGTAAGTACTTCAGAGAAGGCAGAGAGCGCATGGAGAATGAACCGCATGATCGTCAGCTGCGAACATCCGTCACCGAGCCAAACATTGATCGTGCAGATGCACTTATTCATGAGAATAGGCGCATCACTGTCAAGGAACTTGGAGCAATGCTGTCCATCAGTGTTGGTAGTGTAGAAGACATCATGAAATACCACCTACACTATCGCAAGGTGAATGCACGGTGGGTACCACGCACTTTGACGGACGTGAACAAAATGGTGCGCATGCAAGTTGCCAGTCGTCTCCTACAGCAGTTTGAAGACAAAGGTGATGCATTTATGAAGTCTGTAGTGACCACCGATGAAACGTGGGTGCACTACTTCACTCTGGAGTCCCAGAAATCATGCGAGTGGTGGCATACCAGTTCTCCCAAACCCAAGAGAGCGCGGAGGAGCCGTTCGGCAGGAAAAGTGATGGCAACGTTCTTCTGGGACTGGCAGGGTGTTATCAATGTAGACTTTCTGACAGATGCCAGAACAGTCAATGCAGCTTATTACTCAGACCTCCTGGCAACAGATGTGAAGGAAAGGATCCGATCCAAGCGGAAGAGAGGTGGAAAGCGGGTAGCCTTCCTTCAAGACAATACATGCCCCCATATGGCCAAGACAACAATGGAAACCCTCCGGAAATTGAAATGGAACCTTCTGACACATCCGCCATACCGTCCCGATTTGGCACCAAGTGATTTCTACCTGTTCGAAAGGCTCAAATCAGACTTGCAAGGCATGCAGTTTGTGGACAATGACGCCGTCATCCAGAATGTTCGGGAGTGGATACGCCGCCAACCACAAAACTTTTTTGAAAAGGGCATCAGGATACTTCCAGAACGTTGGAAAAAATGTGTTGACTCCGGAGGGGAGTACGTTGAAGACTGACATGTGCAAGTAAGTGTTCGACAATTTTGGTATAAAAAAAAATCAGTCCCGGTCATATTTGAACCACCTTGTACTTCTAACACATCTCATCCATTACTGCTACTGTTATCTCCATTTTATCTCTTGTGATGCCTCCTCCTCTGGTCAGTGGTCACTAGTTGAGGTATACACAACGTGACCTACTATCATTTATGAATAATTATTTGTATGCATTAGTTCTCCATTGTTTTCTTTATTCCATATCTGACCTTATACACTTATATGATACACTGATTCTCTAATTTAACATACTAGTGGACCTAAAAGCTATGATTCGTAGATATTAAGTAATTCTACAGAGAGAAACTTTGATAACTGGTAACAGATGAGAGCTCTGACATCACTGGTTTTTGTAGGGAAGTAAATCTGGTCAGTGCATGTCCCTGTAGCTAGATGGATGTGTTGC